ACAAATTAGCACTTCCATTTACACCCCTTTATTTGCTGTTTTCGAGATAAACTATAGCATATGTTCACCGCATATGATGTAGCTTCCCATAATTGAAAGAATTTTTTAAATTGAGCCCCTAGTTTTGGAGTCTATTCGTAGCAAACATACAAACAATCAAATCTTTTCTCTTTAAAATATTAGTATAGATGTAATGGGATATACATAGATACTTTAGTATTGAAAATGAAATCGTTCAATACTTATAAGCATTCATAATAAACACAAAAGGTTTAATATTAGAATGATATATATGATCCATTAATCGATTTATATCGTGTCGCATAATAATGTTTCTTGATGTAATATAATTACATATGAGTGGAGAAACAACATTGTAAGTAAAGCAACAGACTCGTTTTGACGGTCAATTTTCTCAGCATCCATAAAAAGCGCAAACATGACTACGTTAATAATAAATTACATACATCTCACCCGGACGATACTACCATTTGGAAACAACAAATGCTAATTATTACTCTTCAGATATTAAACAGTGGAAAGGAGCGCAGAATTAGCTCGCCAAGCGAAATGAAACAATACTCATTATCGACCTTCGCAGAAAATTATTGACGAAAATAAATCTAAGAAACTTATTTAGATATTTATGGTTTAGTTAGTGTATATTGAACATTGCGCTTACAATTTATTTCAAGTAACTGGGAGTGCCGGAATTAGATTAAGTGATACACAAAATAATTTTCAATAAAAATTGAGTTCTGATTTGTAACATGTAGAAATTATATGAATTTTTTTTTGAGATTTGCGTTATATGTTACTTATATATATTGGTTTTAAGTGAGATTTCTTGTGTTAAAGTTTGCAGAACCTTTATGGCTGTCATGGTTGCCACCAACGCACTAAGGATTCCATTGTTGCATTCATGGCAATGATCTCGCGTAGTTACATCGTCTTTCAGTCGCATCCAACATTTCCATTGTTGCAATTTTATTGCGGTGTTACCGTCCCCGCGGAGGTCGTAAACTATGCAAGAGCATTCGATACTATCGACCACGATCTTTCGATACTGATGGGATCTCCGACCGCAAGACGCGTATTATCGCGAGCTGGAGCCACCGCAGGATTTCATTCGTTTCTAATAAATTGATATGAGGTGCGGCAGAAAGGGCTAAGCTACGCTATTGGTCAAGCGTACCCCAAGGTTCGGTTCTCGTTCCCCAGTTGTAAATCAAGTTTACAACCTTTAATTACAGATATTTGCCGTCTCATGTGAGTGCGCGGGATATCGGAGGGCTGTCCTCGCGAAAATATCTCATAATAATAGGTATTGACCCGTAATGGCTTGCCTGTAGGTACTATCGGCTGCCTTTGTCTTGATTGTTGGAGTGAGAGAACGTTATTTTCAGAATGATTGCCAATTACATCGAATGGCCCCTGGATTCACTGGTCGATACAAAACGTAAATATTCTTCTTGAATTTGATTTGTGTCCATACACATGATTTATGTTTATCTGAATGTTTTAATTTAATAGCTACATTAACTTAAAACTTGACTGATATTTTTAAAAAGATGAGGAAACTAAATTGCGAATTTTAATGTGATCTAAGTTTTTAATGAAAATTTTCGAATATTCCAATAAGAAAGTGTTCATGCTCTCAGTTCACCACAATGTTGCAACCGGATAGGGCGGCCGCCATTTTAATGTCTCTCAGACGGAATTACGCTGGATTGTTCTCAACTTTACTGCTCCCCCTCATGATTGATCGTTGTATCTTCAGCCTTATGTCATTTTCGCGCAGTATCTCTTGGAATTTGTACTACAAGCAATAAATATCATATTGAGTTATGGTAACTTCGGGAAATTATTGCATTCAAGCTCTTTTGCTCGCCCTGTGGTGGCCGTTTGGTGGTTGTTAATCAAGTTTTCAGTTTTATTAGGCGATTTATAAATCATGTTACTATCAAAGGATTTTGGCAGATTGCGTTTTAATATTGTAAGGGGATTCCTTAAAATTATATTCAGTTTTCAGATAATAATACCGCAGATATTATAACACCTACTATACTATCTTTAATAACCGCTGCATTTCCAAATCGAAGTCTCGTTTTGTAATTGTCATAAATAAATTCGAGTATGAAAAGTATATTTACAACAATAATCTTCTATTTATATAATATTCACAATTACCTTTATATTGTTTAGTATAAAATTATTGTGTCAATTGCAAAAATCAAAAACAAAAATTGTCAATAAAAATTACGAAATATTTTAATTGTTTTAGAGCATAGTAGAGAAATTTACATACAACATAGAACAAGTTTAGCTTAGACATTAAGTCAATCTAGCTCATAACTAAACCTATTTTAAATGATATTGATGTAGGTTTATTTGTCACATCCACGTGAATTTATATTTGCAATCGTAAACATTTTACAGCCGCATCAGTGGTAAGTACATTTTCCTTGCGTTTTGCTTTCTACCACGTGTTCATATAATTTCTATTTATAATACCCCTATCGTCGTGTAATTGATGAACATGCGGAGAGCTCATAACTTGTCCTTCTTGATTCTAATTTCTATAAAAATAGCTTTTTAGTTGATAGGTATTTATTTATATTTTGAAAGAGACAACGTTAAAGACAAGAGACGATCTTAATGATATTCAGATATCGCGCTCATACACTAATGCGGTAGGAGTGGTATCAACATAGGCGAGTAATTGAGATTGATCGAGTCGTGAATCGAGAGGGGCGGCGCAATCAAAAGCGTATCAGACCAATGGGCGGCAAGCGTCTGAACGCGGAGGCCTGCTATTGGCCGGCCGCAGGGTTGAGGGGCAATAAGGGCCTTGATACATCTCTCGATAAGCGGTAGGCGTCGAGTCGATCCAATCGATTGTTATTATAACTCTTGCTATCGCTCGCTCGCGGTCAAATATGCGCGGACTAGCCGACATCTTGGATTTAACATTAATATTCACTCAATGCGTCATGACTATACCTTTAAGAGTTGAGAATTTTATAAATTAACGATGAGTTCCTAAATTTATAACCTGATCACTATAAAATCTTAACCCTTTAACTAATCTGATCGTAAAAGTGGATTACAAATCAAAGTTGCAAGATGCAACATCCAAAAGGATAAACGACTAATCGTTTGTTATTTACAATCCTTTATCAGCGTCTGGGGGCGTTCAGGTTGCGATTTACGAGAGTTTCGAGTTTCACGCACAAAAGAATTAGCACACTAAGCGACATCGAGTGCCAATAAAGTGTAGGTTGAGGTGAGAATAATCGATGCAACAATGTTGATCGACTGAAAAAACGCAAAGCCGCCTTAAGTTCATAAAGTGAAATTTAGCGTAAGGTTTCATAGGAAAAGCAATAATTTGTCACAATTGGGCACGATTAGATTGGCTCTGCCGGCGATTTGACATACATCGTAAATTATGAGTTGACCGACCGAATTGAGTGAGCCGTCACACGTTCACGACGACTGCGGGCGTGTGGGCTTTTGTAAATGGCCGGGTTATGCAAATAGCGCGAGTACGCGGCTAAGCGCACGCGCGACGAATCGCGCGTTTTCCGCCGCCGGCGCGGGGATTGCGTTTTGTGGAAATCGTTATTGGGGTGATTGCTTTCATAAACAATGCTTTTGTACATTGCCTCTTGTAACTAACTTGCTATTTTGTCGGATAACGGGGCTTCAGTCAAGCTTCGGGTTTGATAACACGCTACATGCGTGTTTATGCAATTTAGTTAAGGAGAATTATGTGCGGCGTGCTTTAAATTTTTTCTGTTCTTAATTCAGAGATGTATTTAACTTGTATTGAACTATAAAAGCTCCAATGTTTTTTATATATTTAGCTGATTATCCGAACATTACAATTATACTTCTTGTTTTCTCCAATTAAATATTTATAAGTTTTTAAAAATATTTTTAGACAATACAGATAAAGTCAATAGTAAGTTTTATAGGACACTCTAATCTTTATTGATAATGATACATATAAAACTTTTGAGTTGTTGCAAATGTTCTACATGTTAGTTTACCCAATAGTTTACTACATTAATTCAATATATATTTTCTTATTATATCGCATACATTGTTTAGGTCGTAAATTAAGTAGTTTTTAGCATTTGTATTATGGAAATATAAAAACAACGAAGAAACCACAACACCCAGACTCGAGACAGTATATTTCTATTGTAACTTTTTTATCGTCCTCATCTTTTAACCACCTTTTCAGCTACATTAATTAATAGGTACTCTTACATAACAAAATTATTTATAATCTATTGTTATGTTAACCTGTTTACAGTCTTTAAAAAATCTAAATTTGTTATTTTAAAACACAGATTCATCTTAAATAGAAGTTTTTAAAACAATAATAGTTATCTCTTAATTTTTTTTTGTATTTAACAAACTGCGTCTGTTTGAATCGTAATTTGTATGAGATCATTGCTATGATGAATTTCAATAGAATATTCTATTCAGTGGAATTAGTCATTATTAACATTGTAACTTCAGGTAATAAGTAGTAAAGTGTGTTTTATTGTCTGCAAACCTAACATCTGAATGCTATAGATTTTATTACTGTCATTCGTGAAATTGTGAGTCATTTTCAAGTTTGTATGAAATATATACAAGATACAATTATTTTACATTAACCTTATACATTATATTATTGTTTGGTACAATATAATTAAATTGTTGTTAACTATTGTGGTGACATCAAATAAGTAAGGCAGATAGTTAATAACTAAGGTAGAAGAACATTCAAAGAGTTCCACTGGTGGAATATTGAAAGCATTGTTCGAAATAAACTATCAATTTTCGTAACTTAAAATGAATTTTAAACTCTCAACTGTAAAATTGACTTTAGAAATGCCTTCATATGTCTAAATCGGTGTCGAGCGGGTTATATAACGATTTATCACATCGGCACCGAGCTCACGGTTTATTTGCTCCAATTCCGGCGCATCATCCCTCTCGTCATGAGCGCGGCAATTAATCTCAGGGCGGGTGACGTCACCCCCCCACCCTCCCACGTAAAGGGGATGATTAACTACAGACAGGAAGACGGATTGACAAATAGTCGTTTAGGTATTCGCTAATGTTCGGCGCTCATCAATAAACGATCGTCACTTGTTGGCAATTCCCGTATTGGAGAACTCCGCCGGGACTTGTTATATTTAATTAAGCTTGAGTGAAAGCAGTTTAGGACCTCCACGGTTTAATAACAATGACAGCTTGAAACATTAAATTAAGTTCGGCGAAGTATTATTACAAACTTCTTTACGATAATAATTATTCAAAGAAAGATAAAGATAAAAGAATATATATCGAGCGTTCTCCAGATATCGTTACATTGTCGTTACAGGCCAGTAGGCTTGTGTCCTACAAGTGAATGTGCAGTTCTGTTATATGTTTGGAATATATGAACCATTTTAACTTATAAATATTTAACAAAGTAACATTTTTGACGCTTATTTGCAAAATATTACGCCTCGAAAGCTTGAAAAAAGTAAAAAGGATAAACTACAAAAATATACTAATATACATATGGAATTAAATTAGTTACATAAAACGTTATAACTTTCATTGTAACAGCTATAAACATAAACGCACAAATAACAAATATATTACAAAGATGTCCAGGCGTAATACGTTTTTGCTACCGTACCACCGTGTGACGTCACTTAGCGCTTTGAATTTGTATGGAGCCTTTTCGGCCGATTAGCAGCAGTTCCACAAACACAGCGGCATATCACCAAAACTATTAATCGCAGACATGCTGTTGCTTCTGCATTACTTTCCAGATATTAATGGGCTATCTATTCATAAAATATTAAAAAAGATGTCAGCTAGTCTATTATAGATAGTACAATGACAAATTGCAAGTAGGTAGTAAGAGATTCCATTGAAATTGCGCTAATTAAGGCAGATTAGTAAATGAAAGAATAATCGGCCTTGTTATTACGGAGTCTATTCAATGCAAAACAAATAATCAAATCTTTCCTGAGATTGACACCCTCTTTACTTTCTAATTTAATTCAAATTAAAGCTCTATCTGTTATCACAATTTCTAATTTGTGATTTATTCCTTATCGATTATGAATATTATTTTCACACGATTGATATATTGGTATAGCGGCGAAGATGACTGGGTAAAAAACGTAATTCTGTTGCAGACTATAGAAAAATATTAGAAACAAAAAAAAAAATACTAAGATAAAGTATTTTTTGCTTCAATTTAACAAGAAACAGCTTAGACGACAGGCATTAAAGTTGCAGAGTGGTCGTTACGTCACAACTATGTAGAAAATATACGAAGGTCTGACGTTATGTGACATTTAAACTCAATGTATCGCCTTAATTTATTGATTAAGCAAATCATAAAAAACAAATTACGTGTTTAATATTCTTTAATCCGAAGAAATTTTAATCCATTGTGATTCCTTTCCAAGTACTAACACAAATAATATGCGTAACCTAAGTTCAGTCTTTCAATAATCTCTCTTAAGACCTACAATTTGTTCAGCGTACTATGCGCTTAAACAGAAGATCCGTGTTTCAAATATATCTGTAAATGAATAATAAAATAAGAAGATGTGAGAGTGAATTCAGTGCGCTGTTCACTTCATTACTGTACTCGCGTTTAACCACCGAATTATAGTAAATCAAGCACCGCAAACAATGCGCTAACAAACTTCGATGGTTTCCGTGACGGCCACACGGACCGTGTAGAGATGTGCCTACATATATTAGTATCCGAATCCCGAAATAGGTTGCTAATGAAGATAGGATTTTAGGAATCGTTAATGCCGAAAAAGGTGATTATAAACTTCAAGTCAAGGTTTTAATAAAATGCATTTATTTATTAAAAGTAATACAGTTTAAAAAAGAAGTGATGCTTATGAGATTTAGTAGAATGGTTAAACAATTGGTTGAGCTTTATCTGGATATTGAATAAGTTGCATTTTGATAGGAGTGGATGAATTATATATTAACAAAATTTTAATGTTGGAAATTATCAAAGAAAATACTAAAGTAGATCATCATCATCATAGGTCTTTTTATGTCCCCCAATATTGGGGCACAACTCTTACCTATGGATGGAATCGAATCGAATCCAATAAGGAGAAATTAAAGTAAATGTGTACTATTGATTAAATTTCTAAATGGGAGTACAAAAAAGTTTTTATATGGGAAGTCAATAGTATCTTCTGTATATGTGTTAGTGTGTTAATAATTTCAGTATAAATTTCGTACAGTTATATTATAAAGAATCAGTTTCTTTGTATCCTACGATTCCAACGAAATGTATCCGTAACCAAAATTTATCCGAAACATCACCAATATGTTGTGCTAAATCCGTTCAGTCAACGGCGTGCGTCATAAACGCACGATCTGATGCGGTCGCGCTTCGCATAAATCATCGATCGCACGATCCGGTGCGATTTACCACGCGGACGGTTTACAGCTCTTACCAAGTACGCCATAAAGGTTTTTATTGCTGCAAGATCATCTAAACATCGCCGCCGCAAGTAACAGTGAACCGGCGTACGGATCACCGATCCTGGTGATGAGTACATCCTTATAACGACACCGATTTTATGAAAGAAACTGTCTATACTTCGTTAGAGTAAATAGTTGTTTTCGGAATTGATGCGACATTTCGCTGCAATCTCGGTTATCATGGCGCTTGCAGGAACAAAATAATAAACATTTTCTTTCTTTGTTTCAGGCACTCCCATAAACAGATTACCGATCATGGCCAAATCTGTCCTAGATCTGTATGAATTGTACAATCTCGTGATAGCTCGAGGGGGTCTTGTGGAGGTTATAAACAAGAAGCTTTGGCAAGAAATAATCAAAGGGCTCAGGCTGCCATCGTCTATTACATCTGCTGCTTTCACACTCCGTACACAGTAAGTTCTTCGTCATTCATCACAAAATAATTAGGATAGTTAAAATCTCATAAAAAATTAAGGATGACATTCAAAAGAGTAATCTTAAAAGGTTTAAAATAATCAGCGTCAACGAGGAAGCATTAAAAAAAGTGTTTCAATCAAAGAAGATTTCGCTACGTACATACAGCAGCTCTTTGGGTTACCAGTATATATCAAATTTTTGCATTTTATTTTTATCTCTACCCTTATTACTTTAATATTTGTGTTTTATTTAACACGTAAGTATACAAATAACTTTAACTTTCTTAAACAGCGACTTCCAGTTATTAATTATGTTAAGATTCAAAGAACGAAAATTACTGTCTTACTCCATTTTAATGTCATTGATACCGGTTAATAATAGAAAAAATATATATTAATAAGATAATAACGCCAACTTGTCTTTAATACGTCCTCATTAAAATTTAGCCATCACAACGAACACTAAAAGGTATCTTTCTGATGTTCTAATTTTTTTGTAATCTTTGATAATGTTTCATAAATCTGTGTGGTCTCAATATAGAGCCAGAAGCAGATCCACATTTGACTTTGTATCACATATTATTAAAATTCCCACGAACGAGGTGTGAACAAAACATTCATACTCAATAGCAGTACGTGAGCGAGGCGACAATGTGACAAGTCCATAATTAATATCCTCTAACTCATCTCCGCCGATATAATTTCCCATTTATCTTCCCGGCGAGTTCCTTCACCTCACCTTTTGTCGGACGACGACATAAAGGTTTCACATTTCTAATTCAAACGGCGCACCGTTACGCACGAGAAGTCGATTGTAACGCAATATTTACCACAATCAGTGTCTCATACGGTCCGTAGTACATACAGACCTATTTTGGAATGTGCAGCCATTATGATTTTGTATTTCCGAGGTGTCCTCCTATAATCTATGCGCACTGAGCTAGGCGTACATAAAATTAGATGAACAGTAATGACGAATGCTGTATTAGCTTTCTCATTTGACAGTTTATGAAAAGTTAGACGCGTTTTTATAAGCGCAGGCCGACTATGAGGATTCTCATTGTGTTCCACTTTGAACATGTCCACTTAATATGACTTATGGATAACAATGTGCTTGAATAAAATTGACTCTTATAAGAATAAGATTAAGAATGTAATGTGACGTTCTTTTATGTGGCTGGTGTATAGGATTCTGATATTAATTGAGCTTGAAATATGATTTATAAGGTTGTCATGTCACACGGATTGATTCTACGTGATACACATTGACTTAACGACGTAATTAGATCGTTAAAATATGAAATGACGGATCGGTGACAGCGGCTCATCTCATAATTTATTAAGAGAATAATAAAAGATTTTTGTACTGTGTCGCCGGCTTTAATAAAAAAGCACCTTATTGACTGTCACAATTTGTAAAGGTATCCATCTATTTCGATTTCAGTGGTACAATAACTACCTTTTATGCCATCAATATGGAGATATTTTTTTGGATTAACCTAAATAAAATGTCTATAGGTTGGATAGGTCATTACTGTTACATTCTGTAGCAACTCTTCAAAATTTTTACTGGAAGTTGAAAAAAAATTCATCAGACAAACACTTTTGTAAGCAATAGCTTTTAAACTCTTTTTGGCAATTTCAGATATATGAAGTATCTGTACGACTACGAATGTGAGAAGAAGAATCTATCGACCAGGAGTGAGCTGGACGCTGCCATAGAAGGAAACAAGAGGGAAGGAAGGCGCGCCTCCGGACAGTATGACGCTCAAGCGGCTCTAGCTATGGTAATATACCTTAACACGATTGTAAAAAGTTTGTTTATTTTTACTCGCAATTTTCTCTGTGAGGATTTTAGAGTCGTTAAAATTAAAAACCGTAATAAATAACAAGTATTGGACATATTGATCGCTTCGAAGTTCTATTCTTGTTATTTTTTTTGGATATTTAATGATAAGAATTTAATTTTTTTTGATAAGTTCTAACTTTTTTGATGGTCATATTTTTGAAATGATTACTTTAATAACTTTAAGGTTAATCTATAGTTCCGTTAAATTATTCTTTAAAAATTCTTTTTTATTTACGTGTGGATATTTATCAAATTTATATTAACATAATTTTTTACAACCTCTAGCATTCCTTCCAGCCTCCGTTGAACCGCGTGCCGGCATCACTAGCTCAACTATCGCAGCACATGCAGCCGTTGTCTCTTTCACTCGGTGGTGTGCCCAGACTACCCCCGATTCCACCGCACGCGCCACACATCTCCCAGCACGATATAGAATACCGCGTGAGGGAATATATGAAGATGATACAGCAACAACGGGAGCTCATGAGGAACGGTGAGTAGCGCCAGTAGACTATGATAGAAATAAGACTCTGCACATAAGAGTTATATGTACCGAAAAGGTTTTATTCTAATCAAGTAAAATAAAAATTCTTATTATATTTTGAATAACTTTCAGTATTTCTTAAATATAGATACATTTTGAACAGAATAATAAAAAAAGAATTAATTAGATGCTGACTTCTGAAAATGCTTTTAATAATACTGCTATTAAACTGTCATTAGACATTTTGAACTTTTATGCAGTTTTTGTTTTCATAATTTTCACTTTGATACTTTGTTTGACAACTTTTTATTAGTCGATCTATTCCATATTCGTTCTCAGCACATTCTCTATCGTTTTGGATGTTTTTAATAGATGGTACAATTAAATTAAAACATCTAAAGCGGCAGGAGTAAAGTTCCGCTGACATGGCGCTCATTATGTTTTGTTGCAGGTTCCGAATCACCTCCAGGATCGAACGGTCCCGCTCCTATAATGTCGCCCCGCGACGCCGCCGCCCTCAGTGCAATTGATGTGTCCCGCCTGACCCTTTGGTCCCTCTACAATAACAATAACAACAGTCCACAGCCAGAATTAGAGCCACAACGGTATGTGTCTAGGTATAAAAAAGTTTTTATATTGTATTTCTTGAGAACCGCCGAAATAAAGGATTTCTTTCTTTTGATTGTTTAAGTGAAGGCCCTTTCAGCATGATTATTTCTGGATTAAGTGGTGCATTAGTAAATAATCAGATCTTTGTTGCCTTAAGACCGTGCACAATTAAATAGCTTACTTACATATTTTATACTATTATCTTATCTTTTAATCATAGTAGGATTAAGCGTTTATTCCAGACCATCCATAAGGAAGGCCTGAGCCCCTGCAGTGGGGACGTAAAAGGGCTGGTGATGATGATGAAGCGTTTATTCGCCATGATTACCATTTGAATAACTTATCGAATTTGGTAACTTATATTGTTTATACGTTACTGAATTCGATTAGTAATATATTGTATTGTCTGCCTATAACTACGTCACTTCTCTTCAATAGTCAAACGTGAGCAACTTCTAAGATTCCCCTGTGATCCACTACCACCTCACTACACCTGATAAATAGATAAACTGAGTTGATCGTATACACCCGAGTCTTAACGATGACTCTAATCTGATCTACATCACGCTGAAGAAATATACTTTGTCTACATTTACAGTCAAAGTTTATGACTTACCTACTGAAAACTAACTCATAGTAAATTTTTTTCATTTACAGTGAGGCCTTAAACCTTAGTGAGAGTCCAAACTCCAGCACTAGTGGTGGCAAGCGTGAAGCGTGCCGTTCACCCCCGCCCCCCGCTAAGCGGCGTACTCCTCGGCCGCCCTCGCCTCGCGCGCCCTCTCCGCCCCGCTGCCCGCCGCCAGCGCAAGTCAACGGCAACGTACCGCCTAATGGGGTTAATGGGGCCGCTTTCAAAATCACCACAAAAGGTATGTGATAATTTTATATATACTATATATTTGTAACTGTCCCATTCTAGAAGATCGTTGTTATGCGTTAATAATGATGTCAAAAATCAACACAGATCACATCACTTTTATCTTCTATTTACGCCTTTCACCAGTAGACCAATTGGTTGCATAAATTAAAAGTGGTGCATAAATTAAACATTAATGTGCTAGTAGGAAATAAAGACCCTAAAAGAAACTTACTTAGAAGCCCCTTGCCTGAGAGAAGGAATCATGTCTTTAGGACCTTTAGATGTAACAATGTTTGTTATTGTAAGAAAGTTTAATGGACTGATTAAAAATTTAGTGACCATTTTAGGATTTTCGTATACATATTATGATTTCAAGATTAATGTACGATCTAAATTGTGAGTAGTATACTAATAAAATTATTATCTTTATAGGTGATGCAAGCACAGGCGATCAACAACTAGACGTCTCTATAGAATTAAACGGTGTTACATATGAAGGAGTCTTATTCCCAACCAATGGAAAAGGGAATGGTAATGGACAGAACGGTAGTGGGCAGAATGGTCACAGGCAAATGGTATCTTAAGGCTTACGCTGCAGAATTCATTATCGTTACATTTCTCAAGTCTCGGATTCTATATGATTTCAGATCTATATGCTGAGATTCAGAGATTCTATATGCTGCAATATGTTGCCATTGCCTATGCTCAAGAGTTTAAGCAGGAAAGGAGATTCTGTGTTTACTATCTGTCACCTTGGAATTTGTTCTGGAATGTCATTCCAATTTAACATAGATTGGAGAGTCCATTGTAATCTTGCCGGTATAAATAGCATTGTACCAGAAGAATATCCTATCTAATTATTTCATCATGCGTTTCAAAGGACCAGATGTTTATTCCAATATCGTTCTCATCATGATCTTAAGTCTTTTGAGCATAGGCAACTCATTCGCCGTCAAATTGTAGTGAGTCCAGGTTAAGTTTATATCTAAGGCTTAGGTTACACCTTGTTTGCATATACTGGAGAGTATAAAGTAGGAATTGACTTCAATATTATACAAATAACTTAAGCTCTTGTTTTAGACGTGTACTGAAATAATGAAAATAATGTCTGTATTGAAACTGAGCTAAGATCAGTGATGGTCAGAATATAATATTGATTGACGATTACATTTCGAAATTAACGTTATGGATTAAAATGTCAATGACACATATTAATTATATAATTGGAGACAAATCCAAAATGAGAAGCCTCGCTTTATGTCAGATTAAAATGTCTTCCAGTAGGCTTGCAATAGAATATAACATTCAAAAGGCAGTCGGAACATATCTCCTAAGCAGTAAGAAAATAAATAAATTGTCAATATTATGTATTAATTAATCAGGAATATATTTGGTCTATCTCTGAGTGAGACATATTCTGTTGCGCGTTTATATTATGTGCTAAAATAAAACTTAATTTACTATTAGATATAAACCTAGCCAAAGCGACAAAATTATATCACATTGATCTCAAAACCGAAAGAGGTATTGGGACTGAGGAACTGCATAATATATCTGCCTATATATTTTTGAACTCGAATCGTTTTAGTACAAATTCCGTTGTCAAATTTATCGTCAATAATTTCGAATGTGAGTAAGTTTCGTAATTTTATTTGTAGCGGCCATAACGGCTCACTTATATATTGATCAGTAGGATCTTCATACGAAGCGTTAGCTCATGTCATTTAATGATAAACAAATGACCGATTAATGAGCTACAGAAATCGCAATCCGCCTGCAGTACCTATTGACTGATTTAAATGAGCCATATGATGTACATCACTGCCTGTGAGGAACTAGGAAGTTATTCATACTTTATGATTCCTTAAGGATTATTGTATATTTTTTTTTAATTTTAACTGATTGTGTCATGACAAGTGACTTTTTTTGTAAATATAGTTTTAAAGCGTAATTTATAAATTTGATGTTTCGGTCGTGTGATAGTTGGAATGAGCGTTTTTGTTTTATTATTTTAATTTGTGACTTGTATATTTCTGTAAATATGAAACATTTTTCGAGTAGTGTTTTTTTTTACAAACCAACAGTATGTTTGTGATTATGTTGTTGGGAGGTGTAAATTTTAATTGTCGACTACTATGTCAGTATTGTATTTAGGAATAGGTGTCTATTTATATGATTGTCTGTGTTGCAAGTTTTTGTTTCTTTGTAATAAATTTCTAAAAGTATTTAATCAGCGAGTGTAAAGCGAATTATTATTGATTGACTGTAGTGTGACAATCATTTCTATATTCATCCCTTTCGTTCATGATACATTGTAATATTTTGTCGCCTTCTCAAAAATCATCAGTAAGCAATTCGTCGCTGTCAAAATGTATGTAACTGAAATTGTCTATGTTTAATTAATTGATCTGGTTTTAAATGAATACAATCTCGAATACACTCAATAACATTGTATTACACACAATAAAGGTCGTTAGAGAAAGCCATTTAATTATTTAAATATTTTAAGAATTAGCTTAAGGTTCTGTCCTCGTCGTACCGAATGAAGATTTTTAATCAGCTCTACAACTTTGTTACTATTCATAGCATTTAAAAACATAACAATAATATTGTGATATCTTATCAAATTTGTAATGTTGCCAGAAATACCTTTATCAAATGTTATAGTACTCCATGTCCTTCACCGTCTCCGTGTCCTTCTCTGTCTTTCAGAACCACCATTTGATAGAGTGAGAAAGATAGCGAGTGTGCGAGAACACGTCGCGGAATCCTCAAGCAAGAAAGATAAAACCCTATCTTTCTCATTCTAATAGATGGAGACTCTAAGGGACAAAAAGGACATAAAGAGCTCATACAGTCCTACCAGATATAGTTAAATTGTAAACGTGACGCGGGTTACGATGATACAAAACAATTTTAATGACGAAAAAATACAACTCATAAGACTTTTTATACTATAGTAGTGTTGCTTTGATTTAAAAAAAAAAACATCGTCTGCAAATTTGAACTCGAAAACTAAAAAAAAAAATTGCAAAAACTAATCCGTTCTTCGTTTTTTGAGACCGATAATAAACAATCGGTCTAAAAAACGAAAAACGGATTTTTCTCGTTGTTTTCATTTTTAACAGAGGTTCCGGCATGATACCGATTTGCACATCTGTACACGACTAAAGTGGTATGATGCTGCTTACAATGCGTTATTTGATATTGCTGTTGTTGATGTGTAAATATGGTACCTTATTTTTTTATTCAAAGCAGTAAGATACTAACACGCAACGGGCTTTATGCTTTTCATGTCGAATCGCCACATAGTTAAGACTATTAGATGGTTGATTTCATTACTATGTTGTCAAAATATTGCCTTCTTCGTTGACTTCACAATGTTTTTTTACAATGAGTAAAGTTTATAAATCATTGGCCACCACACCAAAGAACGTCTTATACTATTCGTCACAATTAACAAGGGTATTTTTTTAATAAGATTTTTTAACACGTCAATTCGATTGGTGAATAATTATCTCAAACTTCAATATTTTTCAAATATTTTATCTAGAATAAGTATTTTAATATTATTAGTGCAATAAGCAAATACCGAAAAGTAAAAAAAAAAATATCTCCTACACGAAAAGAAGTCGCAATTTGGTTTATATTTGTGGATTGTTTTGAAATGATGTAAAAATTAGAAAGATGCTTTGTAAAGGACTGATTTAATGTTTCTTTTTTTTATAACTAGTTAATTTAATGTATTTAATGTAACTTGTATAAACTATTTGCGATCTTTGAGCCTACGCACACACCGCGTTTTTTAAACGTTCCGGAGACGTGCGTTTGTAGAGCCATACAGATGAGACTGTGCGTTTAACAGACAGTCTAATTCGCGTGCGTAACGCTTCTTGTATTGTTACAAACGACCATCGAAGACGCGATTAAAAAACGCAGTGTTTACAGGGTCTTAATTGGAGTTAAGTAGTGTAGCAGTATGTGTTAGTACATTCCTGTTAATGTACAATTACGTAAGTTTAACAATAATGTTGTACTGTTGGCCTATAGTACCGATAGTATTGGTCAGCTAATGCGATAGTGAATTTCATATTACACCAAAAATTTTTGATGTATTCAAATAATTATATACGAATAAACAATATGTAATACTACGGAATAATAGTTTTTATTTAACAACCTCCTTTGATTTTTTTAAAATATTGATCAAAGCAGATGTCCTTTTAAAATCAATTTAGATGTCGTTAAGGTGATCTTTGTTGTGATCTATTCTATTTTATCGCTTCGATATATCGAATGCCGATTTTAAGAGTATAATATTAAACAAGCAAGGAAATAAATGAATCTTAAAAAATGTATTTCGATTATGTCGACTGCTTTAATGTTTCATTATTATACAAAGTGACGAAGTATTTTAAAAAAAAACGAAAGCACTAAAAAGCCTCTCCACTAGATGGCGACCCTAGCAAAAGTTGATTTTCGCAGGCATCGAATGGACCAATGACAGTCATTTCCGTTCCTTTAAACTAACATAATAAAAAACTAAAATTTGAAAAGCTCGAAACTTAGATATCAATACAAATACGAAAAAATACAAATAGAATATAAGTTGTTTATTAAGTTTTGAAAACTAATTTAGTTTGAAACTTGAAAGAAAACTGGAAAGGTGTCAGGGAGAAATCAAGAACGTACCCTAGTGACATCAAGTTTGGTTTCGGGAACTATTTTTTTTTTAAATAAGTACTTCTCACTGTAATGTTGTAGACATCGCCAACAGTATGAAACAGCTGATTATTTTTTCGTGAATTCAGTGTTGCTTCCACTGTGAAAGTTGTTCAGTATACGTAAAACAATCCACCCTACGAATACCTAGCATATAATCAGACCTGTCTTTACCCGTGGTACAGGGGGTGCAACGTACCCGGGCACCGCACCGATGATCTTCGGGAAATTAACTGTAATGGGGGAGGGGAGGGGCAGAAAACTGCTTGCATATAATAATATTATACCTTATATAGTCTTGGATAATTTTAGACGATGCGCTGCCAAATACTCCCATTGAGGGGATTTTACATTACATCTATTAATGTGGAGTTTCTGCACATCTTTGTGCATCAGGAGTTTGTACCCCAATGTTTTAGCAGTTTGTAGAATTGCTACGAGCTACGGTTTCGGACAAAATATTCGTAGCGTCATGCTACGGATACATATAACAAAATTGGTCACTGTAACTTAGTGGCTTATTTATCATACATATACATAAGTATAAACTTTGTAAGTATAAATAAACCTATTAGTATGAACTTATCTTGGAATTTGCAATTGAATACAATATATATATTTTTAATTGATACTTAAATACAAAAAATGGTAATTATATAACCATCTTACTTACTCCTTGTTTTAGTGGTGGAAATAAATTAGATATTTTTTTTATTTAAAGCTTGTAGATAAATATCTAAAAGCAGAATGGCAATTATTTCGTTACCTATTTTTTTTTTGTCAAACTAAATGACTCCTTATTGGTTCAGAAACAACAAAATTATTTTTCATGCATTTTTTTCAATTAAATGTGTGTCTACCTGTATCTAATTTAATTCAATAAAACTAGTCACATGGTTCTCTGAACCTAAAATTGCGTTAAGATTAAACAAATAATGTTAATATTGCTTAGTACTGAACACTAATTCTCGGCAATATTAACTATATTACCGAGAATTGCTTGCAATGAAGTAACGTGTAATAAAATTACAGAAACTTAATGTAAGGCCTTTTTAATATTATAACAAAACATGATTATCTATCTATTCTTTTTCATTTTAAAAATATCCAAATTTACTGTCTTACTAGCGACATCTACCAGACTAGAAAGAACTTCTAAGTCAGCGCCACCTATCCTAACGAAATGTAACTAAGGAATGTGGAAAGTAATGCTACGTTTGTTCGCATTGCCTAGTGTTCACAACACTAACTAGGTAGCGCTACTAGTATTTTAAACTTACGACAAGTCGGTCACAGAAGAGAAAATAGAAAAGATTACAAACTTTAAAAAGTGAAAAATGGTACTTATCTCTAAAGCGACTTAATTAAGAAAATGCTATTAAATTCGGGCGGAGATTTTTTATAGGTTATTAACTACATGATAGTTTTTATTTCATGCGTTTTAGTGATATTGATATTTTCAACCGACTTTCTAAAAAAGGAGGAGGATCTCAATTATTTATTTGAAAGTTAGTGCTTGTCGTGTGATCCCATTTTAAAGACCATGTCTTTAATTTGCATTAAGTATGCGTGATATCGGTTACACCAAAACTCAAAATATCACTAAAATGCATGAAATAAAAACTTAAAAAAAACCTACTTTAAATTTAAAAAAAGTGAAAAATAATACTTATCTTAAAAGAGGTTAATTATTTTAAGAAACATTGAAGTCATGCGGTTAGTATCTAATTAACCACAGAAAACATCCGCCCGTCTTTAATGTTTCTTAAAAAAAATTACCGATTTTAAGATAAGTATTATTTTTCCTATTTTTTAAATATGAAGTCGGTTCCAATTATTTAAAGTATTTTTATACAATAGGTAACACTAAAAATACTTTTATTATTCTTAATGTGAACATCCATTGTTTAGTAAGTTAATATACCTTAAATCTTCCCATAAGTTTGACCAATACTTTGCTAAATACCGCATCAAAATCGGTTCAGCCAAACGCGAGATAATCGCGCACAAATATACATACATAAAGGTCAAAGTCAAAGTCAAAATAATATTCTTTCAAATAGACTTCTTAAAAGTACTTTTGAATAGTCCTACAACATTTTCCCCTACCACTCGTTCAAGACGTCTTTTGGCTGATAAGAAGAACGAGTAAGAAACTCACCAGCTCTAATAGGAGTAATGACATTCACAAAAAACATGACATTACCAGATCAATACATTATAAATAGAGAGACAAAAAAAACACTATGGTCTTATAATGATAACATAATAATGGAAATAAGATCATTTTTGATATATAATGAGTTTAGAAGAAATCACCTATCCAGTTACTGAACCATCTTTAGTCCAAGAATTCTTATCTAAATATATATAACGCAAAGGTGACTGACTGACTGGCATAGTGATCTATCAAAGCACAGCCCAAATCACTGGACGGATCGGGCTGAAATATCGCATGCAGGTAAATGTTATGACGTAGGCATCAGCTAGGAAAGGATTTTGAGCAATTCTACCCCCAAGGGGATAAAATAGGGAATGAAAGTTTGTATAAATCTACTGATTGAACTGAAATTAAAGATTGGAGCTACTATGATGAAGACGTCCGCTTAAATAGGATTTTGATGAATTCAACCCCCATGAGGATAAAATAAGGGATGACGGAGGATGTAAATGTATTAGTTTGAAGCTATTAGTACCTAATGGAACGAATAATTAAATATTCGTTAGAAATGTTGCTCAAAGTAACTTTACCACGCGGACGAAGTCGTGGGCAAAAGCTAATCTGTTATATAATCGGATTCCTTATGATAAACTTTTTTAATAAGTATTTTTTTAATAGTAGATTTAAACAGCATGATATTTAATTGTTGTATTTTGCTTGGAACCTTATTGTAGAAGCGCACACAAAGACCCCTGAATGAGTTATTAACTTTTTGCAGTCTAGTGACAGGCACCAATAATTTATTTTTATTTCTTGTATTAAAATTGTATACATCACTTTTTATAGAAAACAAACAAATATTTTTACGAACGTACATTAATTTCTCGTATATGTATTGAGAAGCAACGGTCATTATGTCTATTTCCTTAAACTTCTCCCTGAAAGAGTCCCTAATCCTAAGATTATAAATTGATCTAATTGCTC